GAAGAAGAATCAAAGAAAAGAATCTTGAAAGAGAGCAAGGAGAGGATGTAGAAGAAGAAGAGCTACAAGATGAAGACGAAGACGAATATATACGAGACTGATTCATCAGAAGAAGAGATGCATGTTCATGTCATGATCCAGCCTTTTTATGTACAAAAAACTGAGAGAGATACGATAGTAGAGCGTAAGCGGCTTGAGGCTGAAGAACAAGTTTATAAGGAACTAGCAAAGGAACAAAACTTGAGATGAGAAAGATAGAGACAAAGCAAATAGTAGTTGAGGAAGAACATGGTATTGGAAGATGTGGAAACTGATGATGAAACCAATGAAGCTGAAGAATACGAAGTTTGGAGGACAAGAGACATCGCTAGGCTCAAGAGAGAAAGAGATTCAAGGGAAGCTATGTTGAGAGCTAGGGTTGTTGCGGTGGGGTTAAACGGGCCAAACATAATAAATTACAAAATAAACGAAAACTAGCATGTGGGTTTAACAGTTTATTTTCTTTACAAAAATTGCTTTCCCTAAAGTATGATTTTGTTTTGAAGTAGGGTTTTAGTTTTGTCAAAAATTATGCCCATTACATATATCAGTTTTCTTCACTATGCATCTCAACTTTATTCTTATTTCATATCTGAGCCAAATCATGGTTTTGTCAAGACAAAAAGCTATCGCTAGCAAAACAAAAGTTGCTTCTCAAATTCTAAAAGTTTGTGTACAAGTACACTTAACGACGCCAACTCCAATCTAGAACTGAAAGTATATATATATATATATATATATATATATATATATCTTACGAGAAATGATTCAATATATCTTATGAGTTTAGGATCCAATAGGATAAATGTAATTTTTGTTTGAGAGCTGTCTGCTTCTGCAGGAAGAGCAGGAAAAATCAGAAGAACAAGCAGCACACAAGATCAAGCAATGAAATCACTCCAGGAGATTCTGAACACAATACAGAAAGGTAAAACTCTCCATTCATTTTGTCTTCTCAGCAGGTTTATAGACAAGATTAACTCAGAGCTAAATCGAACTTCTAAGCTAGATGTCATAAATGTCACACTTTTTGTAATTAGGAATGAAACTAGTCTGCATGTGCCTACCACTAGCGAAGAAGAGGACAATGATCAAAACTACATCATCCGGGAAAGTAGAGAATCCGAAACGGATGTACACATCAGTGACAATGCTCCTTGTACTTCAATTTCCTTCTACTAAGTGGGCTTTGAGTGAGGGAGGCATCACCAGCTGTTTGAGGACGGCTCCAGATCTGACTCGTCTTCGATTGGTCTCTCCGTGGTCGGATCGGTTTCTGGTTCAATGTCTTTTCTCTCCTGTGGCTCTAAGTGGTGACGACTAGCTGAACGGTGCTCTCAGATAGCCTCTTTAGCGCTGTTCAATGCTGCTGCGGCGGTGGTGTGGAGGTGCTTTATGCGGCTCCATCTTTCGTTTGAGGTTTTGGCGTGGCTCCGTTGTGGCTCAGTTGGTCGTGGCTTGTGTTGCTGTTTGTTGTCGTTGTTTTAGGTTCAGCCTGCAGAGGTTTGGGCAAGAAGAGCTTCACTTTCGTGTTCTGGAGGTCTTTGGTTGGTCACAGTGATTGAAGGGGAGTAGCTTTGTCTACGGTGGTTCTCGTTTCAGTAAGCTGGACGTTGATGGTGGAGTTGGTTCAGGAGGAAGGTTGTCAGGATGATGCGAAGACCCCACTGGCTTGGTGTCGGAGTCACCGGTCCTTTCTAACCAGATGCCCCACTTGTCTCAGGTGATCTCGTATTCGGTGGACGGAGATAGCTCCTCTATCCCTCTAGCTCGAGCGGCATCTACCTCCTTGTTCCTTCTCCCAAGTCACCGGAGATGTCTAAGTTTGCTGGAAGACACTACTGTGGTTGATCGTTTTTTTGCAAGTTAATGAGAATTTTTGGTTGCGGGGAAGCTGTAAGCTGCGCGTATAAGGCTTTGAGGCTTGTCTTGGATCATAAAGCTCGTGGCAACTTCGTGACCAAATCCTATTCGAATAAGCTTCTTCGCGATCGACGCTCGTTTAAGACGATCTCTTCTTCGTTATTTCTCAGTCGATTGACGCTTGTTTGTTACTCTAGTTGCGTTTTTGTGTTTGCTTTTCTTGCATTCGTTTGTTTTTCAAATTTTGTAGTTTTTTTTTGGTATTTTCCGCTACTTGTGAATCATTGTAATTTCTGTCAAAAATTAAAATGGTATAAAACTTAACCTTTTACAAAAAAAAAAAAAAAAAAAAAAAGTCTATATCCATGGATAATTTCCTCCTTAAGTATCCGGAAGTTACCTTTGTGACGGATATGAAGCATCGCCTTCACCGGTTTCCAACCTTTCTCTCCACTTGCGAGTCGTTTAAATCTCATGCGGTTATTGAGGATCTAAGGGAACGGAAGCCCCTCAAGAGTCTCATATATTTTGGGGGTTGCGAAAGCTTCACGGTAAAGTTAATTATGCTTATCTTATTATAAAGTTAGTTATGCTTATTTACTAACAACTTTCTCTGTTCTTTTTCTTTTTGTAGATTGAGTTTAGTGGTAGCTCAACATATGAGTTAAAGGCGATGAAAGGATTTCTTAAATCGGGGTTCAATAGACTCCGAAATAAGGTCCTTTCATCGGCTATGAAAGGATTTCTTAAATCGGGGTTCAATAGACTCCGAAATAAGGTCCTTTCATCGGCTTTCTACATAATGAAGTTTCCTCCGTCGGTGATGATCCCTTCACCAAATATGGACTAGAAAGTAGAAGAAATTTCAGCTTGGGAGGACGAAGTGTCGAGCCTCATAGCTTTCGCACTTCAATACTCTCCCAACCCTTGCCTCGGTTTCCATGTTTCGTTTTTACACTAAGAGAGTTTCCGAGAGCTTAGGAAAAGATTAATGTTGTTTGAAGAACAATACATTAGGTCATTGAGTAGATGTGACCGATGAGAGGCAAAAGGGGGCAAAAGTGGAGCTGTTTTTGCCAAGACTAAGGACAAACGGTTTATAGTCAAAGAAATCAACAAAACCGAGTATGAATCCTTTGCTCTATTTGGTCCCAAATATTTCGAGTATTTGAGTGATCCAAATAAGAAGACTTGTCTCACCAAAATATTTGGGATGTACGAGGTAATGTTTCTTAAACTTATTGCGGCATATCACGTTTTCTTTTTTGGGCATATCATGTTAGCGAATATTAGGAGATAATCTTTTGTATATATTGTGTCAATATTCGTTTGATAGTTTCAAGATTTGAGAGATTCATATCATGAAATGCACTTTTCACAAACTTTTTTCTTTTTTTTTGCTTATGTTTTGACTTCTTTTTGCTCGTATTTTAATTTCTTTGTATTTTGAGAATGTGAAAGCTTAATGGTAAAATCTAAGTTTCATAACCATATTTTTGTGATTATTTTACAATTTTCTTCATTTTGTTTAGATTATATTGTGCGGTAACTGCACCTATGAACTAAAAATGATAAAAAGAATGCTTAAATCGGAATTTAATAAAATCCAAAATAAGTATCGATGTGAATCAAGTTAGACCTAAGACTACTCTCTCAAATAAGAGATCAATTGCAGTACATAATTTCATAGTATTTGATTGTGGTCAAGCTAATTAATAAAAGCTATTTTTATTACAATTATAAAAAGCTGTCTGCATTAACTGTTTTTATTTAGTGTCTTTTTTATATGGCGTGTGAATAAAAAGAAAAAGATTAAATTTACTGGACACAAATGCAAATCATTTATCTTACAAAAAAGACTAAATATTCCATCTTTGACTGTAATGATTCAAACTTCAGTCTCTCTTTTTTTCTCACTATCAGTCTTTATTTTTCATTCAAACTTGGTCCATATATAGGCTCCTAACTGTGGATATGTCTATATTTTACTGCAGATTTGTTAAAATACACATATTGAATTTCAGTGTTTGCAACATTAATGTCTACGTACGTAGACATTTGATCGATTAAGATTTATAAATATCGTCATTAAAATGGAACAATTTATTAGGAATATCCTATAAAACCATATATTTTTTGTTTTTTGGTTTAAAATGTCTCTATAAAACCATATTAAGTACAGGTAACGTTACTTTTCACTTGATTTCGTGTGGATATTATAATTGGTTTTAGAACTTGGAACATGTAAGAAATTAATCAACGATCAAAACTTATTGTAGAACCTATGCATAATTAATAAACCAATCTAAAAGTAGGGAGATATTTATGTCTCAAGAGGTTATTAATTATTATACCATGTGTTATCAAAACAGGACCAACAACAAACATTCTCTTCGAGATTTGAGAGATTCATATCATTAAATGCACTTCTCAAAATACGGAGTATTACTAATTAAAACCTTATTTCAAGCTCTCTCAAACGTAACCCATAACAAGACCATGCAAAAATGGCCCCAGAGATAAGACTTTGATGAGTCTCCACGTCATTTTCTGTTTTCTGCTTTTGTTCCCTAATCTTTCGACAACATTCGTCTCGCACCCCGACACTTCCCGGGACCTCTGTCTCTCCCCCTCTCTTTCTCCTCTCCTCTCCCATTTCTCAAACTTTTTCTTATTCACCAAAATGACTTTTTATTTTAGTTTTCTTTTCTCCCATTTGTAACTCGTGGTCCTTCTTCATTTGAATTAATGCTCTGGAAATTTCAATCTTAAAACGTTATACAGCTATTTTTGTTTCTTTTATGGGTTCCTATACATATTCGTTTCATATATATAGTATTATGTACCAAAACAATTAGCTCCATAAAATATGTGTCAATACTTAACATGCATTGTTTCTTACATGATCTATGGATATCTTCAAACAAACAAAATAATCATGCTTTATCATCTTCTTGATCTTCCTAATTAAAATAAAAATAAATATGTTGCCACTGGGAATACATAATTAAAATAACTTTTATATAAAAAGAAAAAAGAGAACATTAAAAACATAATAAATAAAAGGAAAGAAGTGAAGGCAACAGCACATAATGAGAGGTTAGTATGGGCTCACAAACTCTTATGTTTCTTTTCTTTTCTTTCTTCCCTTTCCAATTATTAATATCTATTGTTTCTTACCAAACTAACCACATAAATATTTATATATTACCGTTATAAAATTAAAATAAAATTATGTGTATATGTCCCTCTCTATATATACACACTGAAACATATGTTCCCAATTCAAACATTGTTTTGTCTCAAACAAATTTCTCTGCACACACTCAACAACATATCCCAAAACAAAACCAAAAGCCAAAAGAAAAAAGAAATCAGCCATGGAAGAAGATAAACAAGAAGCTTCAATGCCACTAGTTCCCATAGACAGCTTCTCTTATAGTTGGTTAGTTAACTTTCCTTCTTTAGAAGCTTCCAGTGATGATCATCATCAAACCTACGAAGATTCATCTTCTTCTTCTTCCTTCATTGAGATGGATCCAAGATTGCCTCCTTCTAGAAGATTCTTCATCAAAACATCCCATGAAACTAGCTTCAAGTTCGATAACTTCGTTTCTTTCTCCGACGAAGATCACTCTTTAGTTCACGCCGACGAGCTCTTCCGTGATGGCTACGTCATGCCATACCGATTAAAAGCCACGTCAGCGGCTACCGAGGAAGAATCTGAGCCGTTGGACACAACAACAACGACGGGTAAGATTGATGGAGTTAAGAGCAAGTCTTCTCCTACTTCTTCAAGAAAGCTAAGGAGAGTGTCCAAATGGGTTTTGTTGAAGTATCTTGATTTCTTGACGCCATTGTGTAAGAGATTAAGGAGATGTAGATCCGCTGGACCAACGAGAAGTATCGGTATGGATTCGAGGATCCGTGTAACGACGTCGTGTAGGAGCAGAGTTTATTCTGATGAAATGACTTCGTCGCCAAGAATAAGTGTTGCTGATGATTATTATTGGAGAAGATCTTGTGACTCCGAGAGCTCTATTTACGAAGCCGTTCTTCATTGCAAGCAATCATTCGGTACGTTATAGATAATATATTTAACGTTTTTTGTTTAGTTTTATATAAATTTTGATGAGTATTTGTTAATTTGTTTTTGTTTTAATTTTAACAGAGAAATGAGAACAAAATCCATGGAAGAGGAGCAGTTAGAGAAGTAGAGATGGAGAATATTTAAGCTTGAGAGAATAAGCAAATTGCATTAACACGTTACACATGGAGTGGGAGAGAGAGAGAGAGCAACTTGTGATGTGTCTTTTTGTTGATTCTCTCTCTTGAATTAAAGAGATTGATGTGAATGATCCATGTGAATGTGTCATCTGATGTGGATCAAGAATGTTTTTGTTTTTTTACATGAGTGGGCACATTTATAGAAATATATATGGGGCTGCAAGCAGAATCAAGAAAATATTTTCAGATTTTCTTGGCTATTTTTTCTCCATATATATTCGGATCATGTAAGTTAAATAGTTTCTTTTTATATATGGGGTAAAAACTATAAGTGCCTACCCATGTTTACTTTTAAATATTTCTGGTCCAATTGTGTTTGAATATTCTTTCTTTTTGTGCAAATTTTGTCTTTTCTTGTCTTAGAGATCATATGGGGATGTCATCATGCATGATTGAACTCTTTTCTATCATAATTGTCAGTCAAATAATTAAATCGAGCTAAAAAGAAACAAACCACATATGATATTCCAAAAAAAAAAACTATCTGAACTATAAACTATATCAATTTAATTCATAACCCAAGCGAAGTTAGTCCCACTTAAGAGTGGTTTTAAAGGTTGAGGTGAATATGCATGTTCCAAGAAAAACGAATACTCTCTCCGTCGAATAGTTGTCGTTTTAACTATATGCACACAAATTAAGAAACTATTAATGTTGTTAGTTTTTTAATATAAAAATATCATTAATTATCTACCTAAACATAATTTAACCAATAGTAAATCAAGTTGTATAATAAAAATAAATATAAAAAATAAAAAAGTAATAAATTTTACATCGAAAATTGAAAACGACAACTAATTAAAAACAAAAAAATTTCTCTAAAACGATAACTATTCGAAAACGGAAGGAGTATGTGGTAGACGAATCTTTTATTTTGATTCTATGAAAAACGTTAGGCAAAAGTCAATGTAGGAGTTGACTGTTAGAAGCGCAAGTGTTTGCGTATGTCACATAAATTAGTTTTTTTTCTTTCTTTTTTTTTTGCTTAAAATTATGTTTTCCGATCCTATATATTAACCTTTTTTTTCCTCTATAAACATAATTTGAACTTTATGACTTTGGGGATTAGTCGGATCGTCTAGCTTTTGTATTTACGTTTTTCATGGCTGAGTTTAATGTTTTGCATATTTTATATGTATCAATATAAATAAACATGTCTATTTTGCACAATATTATATCAATAAATTAATTAGAATTACGTATTAAGATAATATATAATTTATAAATATACACAAGTATGATAAATAATTATATACGCAAACCAAAACATATAATTTCCTTGAACAAAAAGTAAAACTAAAACATTAATTAGTCTGAAAGTTTTTATACCAAAACTTATACCAATTTCAACAAATCTATGTCTTATGTGTTTTTTTATTTGATCTTTGTGAAATAATTTTTTAACATGTATTATGAGTGTCTGAATTCGGAATGTGACACAACGACGACATTAACACAAATCACTACATTACATGTTATGGTTCATATTTTTAAATATGTTGTATTCAAACACAGAACACATCTATTTTTTTGTAATTGTAGAGGTTGTTGTTGGGCCAATTTTGTTTTTCCAAAACCAGTAATTTAGCGATTATAATTCTGATTCACCATATCTATATATAGATAAACATATATATATACTTGTATAGCATTTTGGTACAAAAGATATTATAAGTAGGTGGATTTCATGATCTACATATTCTTTCGTTTTGTATGATTGTGTTTGTCATAAAGCTTCAGCATTTTCTGTAGGATTAGTTAAAATACCGACAATCTACAATCTATCACATGTGTAAATATACCATATGATATTACATATATATATATATATATATATATATATATATATATATGTGTATATCTATAATATAAAGTGAGAATATTTACTAAGAAATATAGGACATACAATTTTAAGCCTTCTAATTAGAAAAATTGGAGTTATCATTTACCATTGGTTTAAGTGCAAAAATGAAAGAATCCTGACGCTAAGATCTAAGGTTCAAAACTTAGTCTATCCAAACGTATTGCAAATTCAGGAGTGCATCACGGTTAAGTCTCGTATATTGCGGATTTAATCCAAATACCAAACGTAAATGTATTACAGAAGATTTTATCTTTGTGTATGAGTATAAACATCTTTGTATATATATGAAATCATATGAGCGTTTTACTAATAGTTTATAAATATTTCAAATCTTTAATTTCTATATCTGAATTTTAGATCGCCTACAACCATGGTTTATCCGTTCTAAAGTTTTAATAGTTACTTTCCATTAATATAAAATAAAATAGAAACCTAATGAGACATGTATCATTTTTTGCTGTCAACACATTTATCACCATCATAGTTTTGGTTGGCAACTATCGTTATATATCTATTGTCTATTAATCCATGTTTGATTGATAGAAGATCAAAGATTACACATTGCTTAATTCCGTGTTCCTTTTTTTCTTTTTTAAATAAACACACTTTATTAAAATTTGGTCAAGACGTGTTGGCAAACCAAAAACGTGTATATATAAGAAATTAACAAGACCCATACACCAACTTAAACTCCGAGAAATTCGGATTTGCATTTTCATTTTCATTATAAAATCATATATGTTAAGCTACTTATCTATTAAAGCTGCATAAATGAAGTCTACAATGCGGAAGGGGACAAACCTATGGTATTCATGTAAGCGAAATATAAGAAAGTACTTTAAGTTCGAATATATAGAGTTATAGACTAAGGACCGATTTAAAGTTATTTACTTTTAGAAAAACAAAATTGCCCATATCTTTGCAGCAACTTTGTAGCAGAAGATTTTCCATTTATATATAGAGGAATTTAATATTAATAGACCCTATAACATTAGAGACAAGATGGATTCCAAATAAAAAAATATATTTCTTAAAATATATTTTGATGCTTAAAATTATTGTAGCAAAGGACATATTCACCCAAAAAGACAGGCAAAAAGATTTGCCTAGGCATCATTTTTCTTCCTTTCTTAATTCTTCTGCAAATTTATAGGTCCAAGAAGATTTTGGGGGTACATGCACAGATAAATTTCATTGGTTACATTGCATCTAGATCCAAATCTTACAACCAAAATTTAATCAAAATATCAAAGTACTTAATTAATTTTTATTTGGCTTGTAAAGCGAGATATCTGGTTTGGAACGCTAGAAAAACACCTGCCAGAATTATTTACCTGTATGACCCTAATTTCTAAATTGAAAATTATCACTTGGAGCTACCAAATGGCTAAACAAAAAAGTCATTTTGTTCTCGAATAAATTTGTTCTCAACTAATTTATTAATCATCAAACATATGTACGTAGAAGAGTTAAGAACGAGTTCTTTCTTGAAAAAATGGCAAATTTTAAAACAAAAGAATGACAACTTTTAAAACAACAAATGACTCAAATGACTTGTGTTTAAAATAAGCATTTATCAGATGACTTAAAATAATTAATTTTATTGGTATTAGTTTTTGGTTTTTGCCATTTTTTGTTTTTAAGTCATTTGACAAATGCTTATTTTACACAAATCAGCTAGAAACATTAATTTGTTGAAACAAAAAAAAACTAGATTTGGAATTGTAAAGCTATATGTGAACAAGGGGAAACAAAAATATCTTTCTCGTCAATGTAAACCACACACTATAGTGGAGACAAATTCAAACTCAAGATGTTCTAAACATCACCTAGGATCTCTTATCACTGTACCGAATTATAACCGACAATGCAAATAGAGAAATTAGGCAACAAACCCAAAGCTTAATGCGGATAAGCCGCTTGAGTAGTGACACACAAAAAAGACTTTGAAAAATGAGAGAAAAATAATTGGGTAAACGAATAGGAAGAAACTCTAATCTCACGTGCTGGTGAGACAAAACAAGGAGACATATAGACAAGATATGTTCCGAGAAGATCCAAAGTTCCTCGTGACACTGTTCCTATCTCCTATCTTCATTTCTTTTTCATCTTCTTTCTTATTTCATCTTCGTCTTCTTCTTCTTGGGGGACCAAAAACACTTGAACATATATATGGTCATTTTTCTTTTGTCATAATCTATTGAGAGAGATATATATACTAGATTCATGTATCTATGTTTTCGGTATCCGTCGTCAATTTCAACTCTTGATTTGTTCATATAGAGAAGATGTATGTGGATTTTCTTTACGTGTGTATGGGATTATTGATTTGATTATCACTAATGATTTTAAGAAATATATACGATTTTTTCTAACTGTATTAGATAGTCATACACAAGAAAGAATACATCAATTGAATTATTTGCGTGCATGGAAGATCAATATAGTACTCTTTTTACAGATTTTTCTGGACCTTTTTTATCTTGGTATGACCATGAAATCATATACGATTCCTTGGAAATTTCATGGTATTATTAAATATTCGGTAAGAAACAATTCATGCACAATAAAATTTTAGATAATAAAGGTCTTGCTGATATCTACGTTAAGAGATAATTGCCAAAAAAAAAAAGGTCATAAACGATGATATACTGTACACCTAGAGAGATAACTCGTTGTTAATGAATATGAAGAAATCAATAATTCAATATATGAAAAGAGTTTAGTATTTTTAGCATACATTGGACTTGGATCGACAGATACCAGATCGTTAGATCACATTTTGACCGGTCATAAAATACTAATAGCTAAAAGATTTGATTGGTATATCGGGATAAATGGATTTCCTCCTAAAACTTTTTGAAAAAAAAGAGTTGGAACACTATTAGAAGAAAAAAACAAGTCACTAATATGATTTTTTTTTTTTCTAATAGTATTTTGCTCCTTTTTTATAAATTTCGAGGAGCAATTCATTTATCTCTTCAAACCATAAATCAGAAAACAAATATAATCTTTTTCGAACTCAGAACTTGATCTGACTCTTCCAAAGTCTGGCTCCGGGCTCAACCGATTTAGCTTCCAACTCGTCCAGTCGTCCTTAGTGACTGCTTAAGTTGCATTCGTGTCTCAATCGAAGTTGGACTATCCGATCCGATCCGAAAGATATATTTTTGCACGTAACGTATTTGTCTATCAGCCTTATGCCAACATGCATGATTCCTACACACCACTGCTAACTTTCATATTATACAATAAATAGTTGTCAGATGTTTCTTTTCGAAATGGAAGAAAACAAAATGATTGATGAACTAAAACCTTTTGATGATTCATAATAGAGAACTGAACCAGATTCGAAGCAGACGTTATTGGTCGTGGAATGGTACATTACGAGAAGGAACATCACAGCTAATCAAGTCCCAGACTACACCAATTAATATTATCTCAAACCAACATTTTTTTTTCTTGTAAAATTAAATCAGACAAAAAGTAACATCTATAATACTAGCCACACATCAATAACACTAGCCACACGTCGTCCGAATCATTAAGTATATAACTTTTCATACAATATACAGTAAATAAATAAACAGTCATAAGATTTTCTTAACTCGGATTATAGATCAAAACTAATCTAGAAACTCGTTGCCAATAAATAAATGTTATAGTCGTCAAGAATACATCTCATAAATTTTGACCGACGTTGAATTCTAGACTACAAGCACTTAAATCTTTAACATATCTTTGGACAGAACAACAACAACAAATCAATTTGAGAACTGAGAAGGAACCAAATTTATGTGTTGTTATAATTATATGGTGATAAATCCCGACAAGGAAACACTAGAACTAGCTAGATCATGATTAATCACGTCATTGTACTTGGAAAATTAATTAATTTCTGACCAAAAAAAATATTCTAATTTTGTTAAATATGAAATTGCCAAAGATATGATTTAAGGGTTATGTTGCTTACTGGTCAAGACGCGATTTACTAACATAATATTTGGCCGAGAAGATTGATTAGATTCACAAAATAAGCCAACGAAAACCATTATCTTAATTTCATGCCTTTTGTCGGGAGAGAATCAATTCGTTAACTTGTCATATTATTCGATTAATCAACTCATGTATATATACACATATGTATACAATTTTACGTGATTCATGAATTCAGCATATATATATATATATATATATATATATATGTTGGTTTATTGAGCAACAATATGTATGTAAATAAGTTAATAATTTTATTTTTAAATATATATAAGTTTATAATTTTATTATATGTTTAGAATTTATTATTAATGTGCAAAAAAAATGTAGACCAAGGGAATCGTTTGAAAAGAGATGTGGATAAGATATTAATTAGTTTTGGCATATATTCGCCATGACAAAATTACATAATTTCCCTCATTTTCTCCTGGCTTTTCTTGTAATCCGAGCATCATCTACACCATTTCTTCAACGAAACATAGATAAGGATGTGACACCAATATATTAACAAAAACGAGAGAAAAACAAACATGCAAGAGCTAAAGGTTGAGACAACATACATACCTACATAATTAATTGCTTGTATAATTGTATTGTGTATATATGTTCTTTATTCATTTTTTCACTATATATATATATATATATATTTATAAATGCAAATTTTGTATTATTATTGGGTTATAAAACCTAATTTTTCGATGACGCGCTCAAATTTTAGAATTTTTTTTTTCTTTGAGTTCTGATATAAACGGTATAAAATGTAAACTTAATTTGATTAAAACAAACGTTTGAAAATTCACTGGATGTCATTTTCATCTAAAAATAAATCACTATAAAATTTTATATAAAAATTTTTATTTTACTTTGAGTGTCGAATTTTTTTTAAGAGAATCGGATTCAAAGTTGTAATTTTAAGCAAATATTATATTTAATCAGTAGAAAATTTTCAAAACTAAAAGAACACAAATACGCATGACAATCTAGAAAAGAACCGTGATGGATTTTTATTTTATATAAAATATTCCCCAAGTTTTTTTTTTTCATTTCACAATTCGGAAATTCCTCATATTCAGCTAATTTCTTTGCCATCACCCAAGCCTTATAAAAACGAATTTTATTTGTGTAATCGATGAAGTCCCTAGCTTAAATGGATAAGAGTTTATTGGGCTTAATAAGGAAACCATAATTGGCCCATTTAACTCAAAATTCAAATTATAATTAATTATTTTCCACATTCCCCAAAAACCAAAACGCCGAGAAAGCGAGAGAGAGAACAGAGGAAGAAGACGAAGCGACGAGAGACGAAGACGAAGCGACGAGAGACAGAGACGAACCGTAGAACGGATAATCTACGAATACGTATACGCGTGCGTATTTCTCTACTCATCTCTCTCATCGTAACGTTAAAGAAAGTGATTCCCCTCCAAAAAAGAAACCCTCCGATTCCGGTAAACAACCATTTCTCCGTCGCGAACCTAATCGGTGGTGAGTGTTTCTTTTTTCCCCAGTTGATTTTCCCGGAAAAGCTTCCGTTTCTTGGTTGATTAATCAATTTTTAGGTTATTGTGGAATCTAGGTTTATTCTGTTTTTGTGTTTAGATTCTCGAAGAATTTGTGTTTTCTGGGTTATCTGTGTAATCGTTGAGATTATTGGTCCATTTTTTGTTTCCGTGGCTTATACAGAATCCATCTGATCATTAAATATTTTGATTTGATTTCATGGGGAACTAAAAATTGATTCTTTTCTTGCTTTATGAGGAAATACAGAAGATTTTAGAATCATTTATAATCGTCTTTTAAAAGTATGTGAGATTGTGATTTGAAGTGTTGAATCTAAAGTTTCTTTATATGTCATGTGAGTAAGGTGCATTTTCTTAAAGGTTACTGTTTGGGGATTTACTGAAATATATGATGATTGAACAAAAATGGTAATTTGGTTCCTTATGTGGAAGTTTTAGTTAACAATTTGTTGCTTTGTAGCATTTAAGGTCAATCTTAGTGTTGCATTCTCATCTATCTTGAGGATAAAGTTAGTGAAGTGCCAAGCTAATAGTCGATTTGGTAGGCTATAATATGATCTTGGTTCCATCACTTGGTGTTAGATTGTTCTGAAAATTCATCAGTAGGTGTTTTGTTCAGATAAGATAATGATTGAAGTTTGGGTTTGTGTAGTTTTCTGTTAAATAATGGTAACTATGAGCACATTGATGAAACTCAGAGAAAATACTTATGTTTTTGATTTTTTTGCTAGACGACTGTTGTTGATCAAGAAGAAGATTTTAAAGTTGAAAGATCATGGATATTCCAGAGAAGATGAACCAACTGAATCAAGGCTCGAGCTCATCTCTTACCAATAAGCGAAAGAGAGGTCGTCCTCGCAGAGACGAAAGCCAGACTCAGCTACCAGTGAACCCACTTGTTAGTACTACTATTGACGAGAATCTGATTGGTCAAGTTGTTTCTGGTGTGGTTGAAGGTTCTTTCGAGGCAGGCTATTTTCTCAATGTAAAGGTTGCTGACACAGAAAAGCAATTGAAAGGCGTTGTTTTCTTACCAGAGAAAGTCACTCCAGTTACCCCAGCAACTGATCTGTTTCCCCAAGCTAAGATGTATGCAAGAAACGATATCCCGATTCCCTCGTTAAACCAACAAACTCCACTTCAGGGAAAGAAAAACGCTGGGAGTCAAACTGATGACATCGGTTCTGAGCTTCAAACAGATGCCTTGATCGCTGATAAGAACCAATCTGCTACTTGCACCACATCGCTGCCCGATATTCATCCAATGAGTGATGCTGGTGTTGGTTCTGTGGCTATCGGTGAGAGGAATGATCCTATTGATACACTGATGAAAGATGTTGGTGGCTCTTCTGCAGAGGGGAAACTCATTGAACCTGAAAGCCAAACCCTCTCTCTCATGCCACAGTTTGGTAGTGATGGCGTACCAAAAGAAGATCATACTGTTCTGAGATCCGAAGCTTGTGCAGCAAGTAAGACAGCAGTTACAGTTACTACTACTTCACCTAAAGATTCAATTGCTAAAGGTTCTACTACTTTGGTTGATTTCTTTCCAGCACCTGAGGCGACGCGAAAGCAGGACACAGGATCCAGCTCTACACTGAACCTTGAACTCTTTCAGAATGAAACTAAACGATCAGGAACAGAGGATGAGAAATCTCCTGCAGATGCTGAACCTCGTGGAATGGAGGAAAAACCGGCTTCTACCGTTGAAGATGTGCCAGAGGAGCTTCAGCTAGAGCTTGGCAACAAGAAAATGAGTGCATCAGGCATTGCTACTGAAGCAAATCCTGATCAGTCTGCTTCATCAAAGAGCGGGTTCTTGGCGAATGCTTTTGAAGGAAAAGAAGAAACAGCAAAAGATCAAGAAGAATCTAATGCAGCTTCAGAGAGTGGCTTCCCAGAGGCAACAACACAAGTAGATGATAATGATTCTTGAGAAGTGAAATGCAACATCAAAGAAGCTGTTGGTATTATTGAGGAACTGAACAGTTTTTTGTTTTTCCCTCCTTTTGGTTAGAATAGTTAGTAGAAAACTCTTTAGTAGGCTCTTTTCTCTCTTTTGTGGCATTTTTGTTTTTGGTCTTGTGCCAAAAATAAAATAAGAACTCTTAGGCTTAAATCTTTTGCCTTTGGTTTTTCCTTTTTTTCCCTTCACGGTAATGCAACTTTGGTGGTTTTCTCTTTTTTTTTTTTTTTTTTTTTTCTTTTTTGGCCAAATGGTGGTTCTCTCTCACATTGCCATTTTCACGAAGAGAGGAAGATATATTGATGCCAAATAGGCAAATATGAAAGTATGAAGATGTTTTGGTGATATGGGCCTAAATGAGAAGCCCATATTAACTGGACTCCGAATGTGGGCCGAAATAATAAGTCCATATCAACTAGTAGAGACTAGAGAGCACATAAGTTTCGGGTATTTCGATGAATACATGAGAGTATGAGATAAAGTATTTTTGCCTTTTGGCTAATTAACCTTAATCTTCAGAAAATTAGTTAATATCATCAATTGTTGTATTGTTATTTCACAGGACTATATTTGTCTTCTCTCCTTGTTATGATTTAGATCTAAGATTCGTATCTTAATAATGTTTAAGTGGATCCCAATATTTGTGCTTTTTGTAAAGCATAACATAGAAATAAAACTGCTGAAAACAAAATAAGAGGAACCAATTAAATGATAGTAGGTCCAAAACCAGGTAATGTTGATGACTTGAGATTTGGACAAAGACAAAGACGTATCCAAAAAAAAGACATGAGATCTCAAAGTGTGAGTTCTCACTGGTTTGGCCCTTTCATGATATTCAAAGGTTAATGTTATGAAAAAAGTTTATTGTTCCTCAAAACGTAGTTTGGTATTCGTCTCATTCTTTCTTTGTCCCATCGCAACACAATATTTTTGGAAGTATTATACTTTTAAATTTACAATTAGGAAATCACTTGATAAATAGAAACAGAAAGTGTTGATCGTGTTCAGAAAAAATATTCACTGACATGCCAAAAATGTATATGTAAGACAGGAAGAGGAAAAAACATTGAGACCAAATAATTTAATCAAAGGATTTATCTAATTTATCTTAATCTTTTTTTATAATTTCTTAATCTTATGAATCATCAATCATACAAAGATTTAATGGAAATAAACAGATGGATCAACTTAGGGTTGAAGTTGAATATGATTTACCTACATTTTAAACATAGAGTGATATATTGATATATTGGTTTTCTAATTAATGTGTGGTTGACAAAAAAAAATACAGTTTTACATTTTACTGGTTTGAAAAACTTACGGTAGCAAACATATCATACACAATTAACACAACTAGAATAATCTTGATATAAGGATTAAAACTTTTCATTTGTCGGTTTCACATTTCCAAATTGGTTCAAGCCGGTTAATTTAATTACTTGGTTGACAAAAAATTTATATATATGCGACAAGATCATAAATTAAGAACTATAGTTAAATGCGTGATGTGTGATGTGTGAGTCTGTGACAGAGAATGGGTAAAGAGGTTGGAGAATCCATAAAACTGGCTTTCGTCTTCCACACTCTCGTTACTGCCTCAGTCTTCATTTTTATTGAATAAGTCTCTCGTTACCAATTAGTTTTCTAAGTTTATTATTTTATTCATGGATGTATAGAAAAATGGTTTTTGATAGATCACTCTTGATAGATTTCTTTAAAAATATTGGCAATCTTGGATTTTGACGGACGAAAGCCTTTAACAGAAATAAAATTAGGCTTAATATGGACAACTGCCAAAAAAGGAGATGATGGCCTAACTTCTTAGTGGATACAACAACAAAAACTCGTAGTGGCGACTATAGACGTCAATAACTATTATGAAGACTATTTTTTTCGTGCAATCCATATAAGTATCTAACTTTTATATTTTGATAACTAGAGTATTCCCGAAATTAATCCAAGCTATTTTTTGAGGTGTGATTTGCAATCGTAGAAGAAGAACTCGTATCATGGTTCTTTAACCCCATTAAAAAATCAACAATTAGAGACCACCATAAATTTGTTTAAAATTATTATGAATTTATTATAATTAATACTTCAACTTTTGCATATTTTTGGTATAGTTTTTTCATTATTTCATGTTAAAATAGAATCATTCTAATATTCAATGTCCCAGACATGCGGTATTCTAGGTGTTCTAAATGATATATAAATGTTTGGTGTTTAAAACAATCAACATCCCTAGAATTATGGTTGATCAAGTTAATAAGATTGCATGAG